TAAAGAAATGTGCATTGGAATAGCCCAAAAACCAATGTATATGCATAAATGAGTAGTTATAAAATTCCATAACGCTAATATTATTAGCACGTTTTTATATTTAAGACACAATAAAGCTAAGTTGCCTCTGTTGGTTAACATTCAAAATTTTATGAAGCTCCGAGACTAGAGACTTTCCAGGATTTACAAGAGAAAATGTCTTTGCCTCGTGCTCCAAAAACTTCCTCGCATCTTGCAGGCTTCCATTCACATAGAGCCCAAGCATGAGCTCTTTATAAGTAGTTAGTTTTGGTGTGTGATTCGCCACCTTCATGTACTCAAACAGGAGCATTGCAGCCTCCATCCTCTTGCTCGCACACAGAGCTCCAATGACTTGCGTATACGTGAGATCATCTGGCTCAATCCCGTGCTCCAGCATGGCTCGCAATAGATTACAAGCCTCTTCAACTCGAGCAGCCGAGCAAAACGCCCCCACTAGAGCATTGCAAGCGATCACGTCTGGAAAGGAGCTGCCACTCGTCGCCATCATCTCGAGCAGCTTACAAGCTTCGTCTACCATTCCAACCTTGCACAATGCACGGAGGAAACTTGTGTAAGTCACTACATCCGCCCCTATACCTTGTTCTTCCATAGCTTTCGCCATTTGGAGCGCCTCTTCAATCCTGTTCTCTTGACAGAAGGCATCGATGACGTTGTTGTAAATCACCAATGTCGGCTTGCAAACTTCCCCACCTAAAGCTTGGCCGGAATGCTTCCGTCCATGGCTCATATCTTCGAGTAGGAGCACAGCCTCTTCAATCTTCCCAGCCTTGCACAGGCAATTCATCAGCCTACTGTAGAGATAAATGCTTCCCGGACAGTTTCTCTGTCTTGCTAGCTCGAAAACCACGAGCGCGATATCCCAGAGCTCTAAGTTGCATAGCGGATCGATGATACTTGAGTAAGTTATCTCATCTGGCTCCAAACCAGCGTCAAGTGAGGCCTTGAGGATGATAATTGCTTCGTCGAACTTGAGAGCTTTGCAAAACCCGTTGATCAAGCACCCGAAAGTGACAACGTCCGGAGAGCTTTCAGAGTTTTTCATCCGACTGTAGATCACCAACGCCTTGTCCAGCTCACCTCTTCTGCAAAAGCCGTCGATCATTCGGGTGTAAGTGACAGTATCCGGCTTGCAGCAGTCGCTCTGCTCCATTGCCTCTAAAACTGCGGTGGCGTGGTCGATTCTTCCAAAACTTGTAATGGCGTCCACGACGCAGTGGTATGTATGTATATCCTCTGGAGCTCCATTCTCTCGCATGAGCACGAACACCTTTAGCACCTCTTCCATCTCCGAGGCTCTACAAAACCCCTGGAGAAAGCTGTTGTACTCGAAGGTGCTGGGACGGAGATTCATCGCTTGGAAGAGCTCGAAGTAATCACTGACAGAGAATCCTCGGGCTGCCTCTGGAAACGAAATCTCTGGCGAGTAACAGATGCTCAAGCCTCTTTGAGCCAGTTCGCGAACAACCTGAGAAGCTCTAGAGAACTGGCCCGTCCTGACGACCCCGCAAACTATCGAGCAGCAAAGAAAGTTACCATCGGCAAAAACAGCCCCCATCCTGTCGAAGAGCTTCACTGCAATGTCTTCCTTCCCAGCCTTGCAAAGACTCTCGGCCAGCTTCACAAAAGTCTTGGCACTCACTCGCACGCCCGCATTGACCAGCCTGCCTAAAAACCAAGCTCCTTTGTCCACTGCAAATCCTTTGCAGTAAATCCTGACGAGCAAATCTGCCGTGGAGTCCTCTGGAACAAAGTTCTCTTGCTCAATCAGTTCCTCCACCATTTCAAACACCTCTTGAAACCTGTGCATCCTATCCAAAGCCTTGAACACGGAGTTATAGATCCGAGCTGGAAGTGTGAGTTCTCTCTTCCTGAGCTCACTGAGAATCCCCTGAGCTCTATCCACCATCCCGGACTTTGCATAGCTCACCACTAGATCGGCCGCGGCTTCCAGATCTACGCTACATCCTCTATCCACCATCTCGCTCAAAACCGAGTCCAAATCCTCCATCCGACCGGCCGATGCCAAAACCGAGATGATCTGGTTGTAAGTTCTCGAGTCATGCTCATAGCGCTGTTGCCTTCCAGCCCACTTGAAAAAGAAGAATGCCGTGTCGGCATCTCGTCTCAAGATCTTGACGAGCTCGAAAACAAAGCACGGAGTCAATCTGTGAAAAAAAACCTTGGCCAAAGTATCATCTCCCTCTCCACTAGCCCTCAATTTCTTGAGCTGCGCAGCAGCGTCTGGAAGAAGAATCTGTGCTGGCGACTCGGCAAAGCTCTGCAACGACAGATCCTCCCGGCGATCTGTCTGATAGAACGCGAGCACTGACCTTTGAGCAAGGAGCGCCGCCGTCGTCTGGAGCAAAATCTTCACTGGCGGCGCGATAAGAATTCGGAACATAGATCTCGCTTGCTGCTCCAATGTGGGCAAATCTGGCTGCTCCACAGCTCTCCGGATCCATAGGCATGACGGTCGCTCCTCCAAAATCCCTCGCGGACCCCTTCGTAGATTTTTGGAAACCTCGCTAGAATCATAGCTGCCCTAAACATGCACTAGCAATGCTGCCAAGTGGTCAGATCACAGCCGTCCGTTTTTCTCCCCAGTGCTAGGGTTTGTGAGTCTTCCTCTCTTGATCGAGCCAGGATGTGGCACGAAGCTCGGCGATCCGAGAAGAAAGTCCATGATATCATGGACGCTGCCCGCAAGCGCGCGGAGCGGCGGGCGGTGTTCTTCGCAAAGCGCCGGGGCGATCCGCAGCAACAGCTCAGGATCACGGGAACGCGATGCCGGATGTACGTCGATCAGGCGATGTACCAGGCGACGCAGGATCAGCACGGCCTGTGAGATCTTTTTCTCTCATTTTTGGTCTGGATTGATGGAAATTTCTCGTGGACAGGATCCCGTGGAACGGCAAGAAGGATAATCTGATTGATAGGTGAGATTATAGCTCAGATCTTTGTGTGATTCTCATGGCGGGATGTGTAGATTTGATGGGAGGGCACTCCTGGATTTCATCCGGGAGAGCGATAAGTCGAGGCGGCACGAGAAGACCGAAGAGGAGGAAGAGCTCGAGGAGCTGGTTAACTTTGAGCGGTATCGGGACCTTATCAAGCGTCGTCGTCGAGGATGTCGGTATTTCTGTCCTTACTCGAATTGCTTCTTCTGCGTAACGACTGTTAGAGCTTCCAAAAAACTTCGATGATCAAGCGCTCATGCACTCTGGGGGTGTGTATTCCAGTCAGTGATGAGCAAGGGCTGCTGGATGTTGATCACGAAGACGAAACGAAGACTGGCTCCTCTACATTGGACAGGTTTGTAAGTTTTGTTCCTGTTCTTTTTCTTTCATTGTCTCTCTTTTTTTCCAGGGAGCGTGCTGGACAGGGTGTTTACGCACAAGTTGGATACTCATACGATGGAGGAGCCCGTGCTAGTGACGATGAAGATGCTGTCGAAGATGAAGAGGGCGATTTGGAAAGCAGCAGCGGTGATAGTGAGGACGAAGAAACTGACTGCATCGGTAGAGACCACGGTGTGCAGCGGTTCGGCTGGCTTACACACATGGATAAGAAAGTTAAAGCGGCAGAACGTCGGCAGAAAGAAGCTGCAAAGGGTGACACGGCTATGGTAAGAGTATTTTACGATTGCGAAGTTCTTAAAGGAATTGCTTGTTTTTGAAGAAGCTTAGCAGGAAAGAGAGGCGGAAAGCTTCACAGTACGAAAGAGATGCTGCACGTCGGTTTATCTCTAGCGATCCTTATAGGTGATTATCTGAAACTTGGTTCAAGTTTTCACGCTTTCCTTTTGCAGAGAGAGCGACTCGTACTCTTACAGAAAGCGCTCGAGAAGGTGAGCCATTCTGGTGACTCACTTTACTCGCTTCTGACATTTATTTGTTACAGATCGAGGTCTCGGTCTCGTTCTCCTCGGTCAAGGCGGCATGGATACTCCGATAGAGCCCGCAAGTCCGACTCTTCGCGCGTGGGGAAGATTGAGTACATAACGGAGTTTGGAGGTGACAACGAAGCGGATGACAAGGGACGTAGCAGAGGATACTCTCCACCGCCATCGCCTCCTCCATGCCAAGTTGACACTAGTAGTCGGTCGGAGCACTGGCCCTGTGTCCTTGCAATGCTGCAGTTCTATCCTGGCCCCCAAGGCAGCTCTTGGGGTAGAGGGCTTACCACTTTCGAGTTTTACTTTCTCTTTCCTCCTTGCATTTTCTGCTTGCGATTGATTGTATGAAAGCTGGTAGTTTTGCATTAGAGACGGACTTTCTCTATTCTTTACTAACATTACTTTTTCCTGCTAATAGGCCTGCTCCCGGTCGAATACTGGAAGCCTTGCACGGTGATCCAGCGGCATCAGTCGGGGGTTCTCTGATTGCAGACGCGGAGAAGGGCTACAGAAAAGACCACAAAGTGACGCCTTTGAGCAGGTAAGGTGTGTGTTTGTTCCTTCTAATGCTTTTCTTTCTCGGTGGTTCTCTTCCAGTACATCATCTGCTATTGCAAAGCTCAGTAAACCTCCAGCTGCTCCAAAGGCTCAGCAAGCAGAGAAGAAGGAAACTCCACAAGAGCGGCTAAAGAGAATAATGAGCAAGCAACTCAACAAACAAAGTAAGCTTTTCTATTCTTCCGTCCATACAATTGTGAACCGTTTTCCGCAGTTAAGAAAGACACTGTCTCGGAGATGCTAAAGAAGCGAGAGCAAGAGAGGCAAAGACAGGAAAAACTCGCAGAGACGCGAAGATTTAGAAGCCGAAGCCGCAGTAGCAGCCGGAGTCGCAGTAGGAGTCGATCACCATCAAGGCAAGTCCACAAACAAAAAATTCTTTTCCTCCATCTCTCCTGTGCTAAAGTTTTAGTTGCTGTGCTCCAGATACTACGATCGCAGATAGTTTGTATAACAAACGAGACGTTAATAAAGTAAAGACACGACATTTCGTTAGTTTGGTATTTCTCGCATTAGGGTTTAGGGCGCTTGGTGTTCTTTGTCCCGCTCCCGGCAAGAGCACCTATGTTCCCTGAGGGAGGAGGCTGCCAGCGAGCCATTGATGGCTCTCCACATCGCAAGGACTGCCGCGGCTAGATCCATGGACGACATTGCGGTGTTCAAGAATTTCATGCATTTCCTGATCGAGATTGTGGAGCCGCTGGTCGCGTCGCCGATGCACGTCTTCTTCCTCCAGTGGCGGAGCATCGCCGGCTCGGCGCAATCGCAATCCCTCTCGGCGGAGCTGGCGGAGGCGCCAGATTTCAAGCAGCGGATGTTCCACCAGGCCTCGTTCTCATTCAAGAACAGGGATTCTCACGCCAGGTACGCCAATGCGGCCGCGCAGATCTCCCAGCTCCGGCAATGCGCCAAATCCGAGGATCAAGACGCGCTGGCGCGCGTCATCGGCGATCGTCTCACCCCGGATTTCGTCCTTGAGATGGTTAAGGGGCTCAGGAACGATCCAGGCACGGCATTGTTCTTTTATCGCTGGGCAGGGAAGCAAAATCGATCCTCCTACAAGCATGACTCGAGGATCTATAACCAGGTGGTGAGAAATCTGGCGGCTGCCAAGCGTCTAAGTGACATCGACTCGGTTCTTGGCGAGATGATGGATCAAGGGTGCAGCTTAGAGCCGGAGGCAGCGCTGGATTTGGTGGTGTGCTATGCCAATGGCGCCATGGTGGATAGAGCACAGGCGATTTTCAACGAGTTGCGGGATCAAGGCCAGGAGTTCCCAGCTCACATCTACAATGTCATCTTTGGAGCACTGGCAAAGCTCCAAAGGTTCCAGGACGTCTTTCGAATGGTGGAGGATTTGATGGCCAAGAACTTCACTTTCAGTGACTCCACCGCCGACGCGCTCGTCCGGATTTTTTGCAAGGCACTCGCAGTGGACAAGGCCGTGAGGTTTCTCAAGTGGATGAGCAGCAAGGGCTTGCAAGTAAACGCGATGGCTTTGAGCATGGTGGTGGATAGCCTTTGCAAAGCTGGGAAGGAAGACACTGCAATAGGCTTGCTGGAAGACACGGCAGCCTCTTCCTCGGTAACTCTAGCTGATAGGAATTTTCTTTGCTGTTCTCTCATCTGCGGAGTGTTCAGGACAGGTGCTTTGGCCAAGGCTTCGTTTGTCATCCGCAAGCTGCTCCAGCGTGGCCTTGTGTGGAAGCTGTCAGTGTTTGATCATCCAGAAGGGGGCTCGCCGTTCTCGTTTGAGAAGATCATAGCCTTGTTCGGGACGATGAAGGTGGCGATGAGCACGTTCGAATACAACTGCTTGATCGAAGGGCTGTGCAAAGGTGACAGGATTGACGAAGCTCTGAGGCTCTACGAGCTTATGCGAGGAAACAACGTCCCTGCTGATATCTTCACTTACAACAACATGATCGAATGCATCTCCAAGCTTGGCATGGTGGAGCAGGCTGAAAAGGTTTTGAAGACAATGGAGGAGAGCGACTGCAAACCGGACAAGTTTATATACACGCGGGTCATCAACGGGTTTTGCAAGCTGGGGAACTTCAAGAACGCCGTGGTACTCCTTGGCCGTATGAAGGAAGCAGGATACGCTCCTGATGCCGTCGTCTTCGATTGCATCATCGGCGGGCTGTGCAAGACTTCGAAGTTCGACGAGGCATTGGTAGTTCTCAAGGTTTCGATCGAAGCAGGTTGCGAGCCAGACGAAGTCACGTACTTCAGTATAGTTGATCCACTTTGCAACATGGAGGACTGGGAATCAGCTCTTAGAGTCTTAGAACTCGCTCAGGAGAGGAAATGCCCCGCAACCAATTTGCTATACAGCAGGCTTATGAAGTGCCTGTGCAAGACTGGGAAAGTTGAGGCAGCGTGTCAGCTTCTGGAGGATTTGACCAACGGGAGTAGAGGGTCAGAGCAACTTCTAGGGGGGGATGGTTGCAAACCAGACGTGGTTATGTACAGCATCGTCATAGATGCATTGTGCGCCATGGGAATGACCGACGAAGGCTTTGTAGTAGTGAAAGCCATGGAGGAGCGGGGCGTCAAGCCGGACGCGGTCGTGTACACGATCTTTCTCTATGCTTTTTGCCGCTCAGCAAGGCTAGACGATGCTTGTAGGCTGCTGGAAATAATGGTGGAAGCTGGCTGCTATCCGGACGTTATTTCCTACAACACTCTGCTCTTTGCACTGTGTTCTGCTGGTCAAGAGGAGGAGGCTTGCCGGCTCTTTCAAGTCATGGTCGAGACTGGCATTGAGCCCAACGTCTTCACATACACTCAACTCATACGGGCTTTGTGCAGCACAAAGAAGCTAGAGGGTGCCAGGCACTTATTCAATTTTATGAAGCTCTCAAAGTGCGTTCCGGATATGGAGACTTACAAGGCGCTGATCTTGGGGCACTACCAGAATGAAGGCGTACGAGAAGCGAGACAGTTGCTGGAACAGGAATCGGATGCGTTTTCTAGGAGGAACCCTGGAAAATCACTCTTGTCCGAGCTACACGAAGCTGGAAACTTTTATGAGCGTAAGCAGCTCACCGCCATTATTGATCAAGGCCGGTTGGCGTAGAATATGAAGATGCAACTGGTCATATTTCGTTTCAATGGCATCGAGCTCTGGTGAGATTTGAAAAGCTTATTAAGTTTTAGAGTTTGACTCGGTTTTTATGCAGATACAAAAGACTTTTATCGTCGCGAGTATGTAAGTTGGAGCTTTCATTGGTATCAGTAGCTGACATTGTTTTTCTTTGTGCAGGTAACCCAATTTTGTCGACCTGAGGAGCACAAAGTGCTCAGCTAACTATTCTTTTTTCAAAAATCATTAGTGTTTACAGTCTCCAACCGGACAACAAGACATCCGGACCGGAGGTTTTTGTTGGATTGAGCTCGAGGGCTCGTGATGCTGCTCCGGTACCCGCTCAACATGTCCTAGCTTTTGCAACCAGCTAACAGACCCAGCCATGTTAAGTTTTCGGGCTCCAAGGGTATGCTGCCAATCAGTTCCTCTGCTTCCTCCAGCTTTCCAGACCGGGCAAACAGATCGACCCAGTCTCTTTAACTTCGTAGTTTGCTTCATCGAAAGTATCCACAACCAACATCGACAAGGCCCGCATGGCTGCAAGCCTAGAGAACGCTGGGGAAGATGACGTTCTCAGGATGAACACCTTGGACCACCATGAGCCTGAAGAAGCTCAGTGTCTGGTGGCCGGGCTCGTTCTCAGCATAAGCTTGCAGCATCGCAGAGCCTGGGATGACACCGACGGTTGGAAACCTTTCAAAGATGGTCTTGACTCGATCCACGCAGCCACACTTGGAGTAGAGACTTATGAGAACATTCTGAAGCTGAAGGTGGTGGTCCAAGCTGGAACAGGAAATCTCGTCATGAAGAAGTTTACCGAGTGTAATGTCGGGGACGGAGGCACGGTACGTGATCGGGCTAGCGAAGCTGTGAAGAGCAAGTCGGCCGTAACCATTGTGAGCGTAAGCCGAGATCACCGCAGTACGACCTTGTTAAAAACGTGCTCTATTTCGTCTACGCACCTTCACTTGGGAGTAACATGGTGATGAGAGAACTGGCTATGGCGGCCCCGGTATCCAAACCAGCGTCAGTAATGCTCGAGTGGGTGACTTTGCCTTCGGCTCTGGTCTGCACTACTCCACAAGGACCGAGAACCGTAGTGTAGGCGACGATGTCCAGCTGGATGCCTTCGAGCAGCATCCGGTGGAAGAGTTGAAGAGGGCTGGAGCTGAGGTTGTTTTGAGCGACGGCCGAGATCATCGAAGCCCACAGAACGACTTCATAGACTTCTTCAGAGTTGCTGCTGTGATCCGATCAACTTTCCTTCGGCAAGAGCTCTTTGGCTGCCACAGGCTTCCACAATGGCTGCGAGCGATATCTCGTCAACCCGTGTGCCTTCCAAGTCGAATCGCCAACACAGGTCTGTCTTACTGGCCAGCTTTCGACACAAGCTTTAACCATCGTTGTCCAGGAAGCAGCGTGTGGACAAAGCGCATCTGGCTGCCCGTTATGAGGGATGCCAGATGCAGTGCCGAGCATCTGAGACACTCCCTCACATCCCATACATTCGATTGCCACCCAAGCTAATGCTGAGAGCTCCCACCGCCGTGCTCCGCCCGAGGAAGTCATGCCCCGTGTTTCGCGATGTCGTACCGGGACGCAAACTTGACGGCCTCGTGGGTCGCCCGAGTAACGTTGACCGCGTAGACCGCGACCGCAAGCGGCGGTCCTGTTGGAAGAGATCAGGCAGCGCTGCTCCCCAAACGATTGCAGCGTACCCGGTTGATCGGTCCTCCAGAAGGGACTGTTCCAGCCGCTCCTCACGGCGTTGCAGGCTCGCTCGTCATAGTTTGGATCATGGCATGGCGATGCTGAAGGGGCCACGCTGATCATTCTCCCTCCCACGGAGCGATTGAAGGATGCCCGGGTCTGTGCGTCTGGCCAGCACAGCTCGCCCGCTATACACTTGGAGTGGACATGGCCTGGAGCGAATAGAACCAACAATATCGATAGTATCGCTATCATCCTTTACAGGACTCTTGCATGGAGGCTCAAGTTTCCCTCAACGGAGCATTAGCTGGAGCATGGATTGCATGCTGATGTTGCTCCATTCCTCTCTTTTTCTAGGCTCTAGCCAAGCTTATCCATCCCATGTTCAATGGCAATTGGATCTGGGTTAGTATTTGCTCTTTTGAAATTGCTAATTTTCAATACCTTCTGATGGAGTACGAGAGAAGTAGTGGTGCTGTTCTTGAGAGGCAAGAAATCTTCGTACATTGTTCTAGCTTGTTTGTCCATCATGCGTGCCTTCCAGCAGAAAATTGAGGTAGAAGATTTAGAACCCATTTCATGTTATTCAATATGTAAAATTTGGAAGACTCTGAAGAAATTACAGATCTCCTAAAACAAACAATCCAAAGAAAAATATTAGCATTGCTTAATTTTTTATATGATAAAATACAATTTAACTTTGTATATTAATATTGTGAAATGGCAAAGTACCATCTAAATGTCTTTAGTACTTGTCCTTTTAGCAATTAATTGTAAAATTGAAAATACATCACTTGAATTTGGATATGAAGAAAGCACAAATCAACTTGATATGCAAAAAATTCTAAATGCTATCAGTTCTATGATTGCAAATATAAATTGGAAACACAAATATCTAGAAACTTGGTCAAATGCAATTACAATACCTTTATCTATAGGAGAAGTCCTTATAAAGCTATCATGGTTTAAAAGAAAATCTTAAAATTGAAATATAAATAAATTAATTAGTGGGCATACAACCTATAGTGGTTTCAAAAATTTATTAATATGTAACATCTTTAAAATGATAAATAATGCTGTTAATTATGCAATAATAACCAGTAAAACATATCAAATTTATTATAGCCAAGATAGTTAATATATTCAAGCCTTACAGTTCCTTGAGGATTGTAATATATTTAAAAGTATGTTATATAGTGGTTCTAAGAATAAGCCTCATCATATGTTGTTAGCAAATAGTTTTTTGTTATTTGCAAATTCAAAAATTTTTTTTTTTTTGCATTCACTTAGTTTTATATTCAGGAAATAATAAGTTATGGCAAACACTTACTGAGAAAAAAATATAATATATTATATACAGAATAATGGTAATTTAGTATTATATTCACAAATGAATAAAATTGGATGGTCCATAAGTATATATTTTAATAAATCATCTGTATTTTACTAACCTTTTCTAGTTTGTAAGATGATTGTAATATAGAAGTTTATTCTTTAATTTCACAAATAAATAACTATAGTTAGCAATTAGTTAGTAATTTCTATTTTATTTGTGATTTTTAAACATTTATGTCTTATAAAATTAAAAATTAGTCAATTTTTGTAAAAATAACATCTAAAAATATAAATAAATTTAATTATCTATTTATTATTTATAATGCTTAAAATTTTATATATCTAAGATCTTAACACTTCATTAAAATTTTGTGGGACTTGTGTAATCATTTATCCTAGCCACCCTTGATGATGTTTTTTGATTGACATAATGCTATGAGATATTGCCTCTCCCATTTATAGATGCATATGCTTTAGCTCTACTTTCTATGGAAGATGGTCCTATTCTAATAGAGGTCAATATTTCAGAATAAAGACTAAAACATGGTTGTAGTCATGATATTTGTTGTTAGGTATAATGAAGTTAGTCACACTTATCAACATTGTCAATGTTTTTTGAATTAGCATACTTTATTTCTTGGGTAGAGACTTTGGCATCACCAATATCTTATTGATGTTGTTATAATGGAATGTCTTGACATTAAGATTCTTCTAAAAAATAGTAAGTTATGTGAGTAGTGGACTTATATAAATAAGTTTTTATCTTTCTTTGGGAAATACCATCAAAGGGTTCACTCAGTACTAGTTCATTTAATATTTACTTTCAAACTCAATTTTATAATAAAAGGTGCTCTATTATCCTCTCTATGTTAGTTGATACAGGTTTTAATCTATCTTCTATTACTCAAGTTATTGCAACACATTCTCATCTATATTCATGCACATTCATAATAGCAATGACCATATATATGCATATGAGCAAGATAAAATGAACTTAATTATGTGTGTGGGTGATTTTGAGTTTGAGTTCTAAACATTGCAAGTGGTGCTAAGTCAAACTTTTAACCTCATTTTTGGTATAAATTAGTTGCAAGACAATCATGCCAAAGATAACTTTAAAACTTCTACCCTTTATTACATATTCTTTTATATTTTTTTATTTCTCTCACTCTATTTCACCTAGTCTTTTTGTTTTTACCTCTACTTTCATCATTTTTGTCTCTCCATTACTTTTTATTGTGTTTTCTCCTTGTTTTGTTATTCCCTTTCTAGATCCCTTAGACAATCTTTATGCTACAAGAGTTGATCGACTCAAGCAAAGTATATTGATCTTTTCAACTTTTACTTGTTGTATAGGGCTAAAATTGTATTGTGTCATCTTATTCCAACTAAGGATACTCATCCAATTTGTTACCTAAGGAGATCAAGATCTTACAAGTAAATGTGTAAAAGATGTTAGAAAAAACTATTATCTGAAAGTTTTGAAATCTTTGGTGTGTGAAACTCATCTTGTAATGAAGTGTAATGGGAGTATTCACATCAATTATCATTCATTAAATGATGTGACAAATTCGGATATATACTATTGTCCCCACACTACTAATCTTCTAAATCATTTGAGGTGAAATTGTTGGTTCACGAAGTTAAATCTTGCTTTTGGGTATTGACATCTAAAGAGGATGTTCCCAACACTACTTTTTGTACCCCATTTAGTTTATATGAGTTTTAAGTGATATTGCTCAGATTATATAATATTCTGATGTCTTTTCTATAAATGATAAATGAGGTTCTTTGTGATATATTACAGGAGATTGAGTAAGGTTTTTTCTACTTGTACTC